TCTCTCCAATGGTCACTTGGGCCAAATCTCAGATAGTTTGCACAGATTCTGGAAAGGTATCCCTTTTCCAGGTCCCAGAAGCCTTTAAACTCACATCCAGTGAAAGGTTCTCTCTCTCGCCCTCCCGCACCATCCTTGCTGCTTGTGGACCCCTGGTGTCTGGGTGGGGAAGGAGGAGGAGAGATAAGGGGCACAGTAAACCTGGCTGTTGCTCTCGTCATTTCACAGCCAGAGTCCTGGGCGATGACAAGCCTCCCACTATCCAACTGTGTTGCTCTGTCCTGGGCCACTTGCATGGGATATTGGGAGATAGTTTAAGACCTGGAGGTTCCTATTGTTCCTTAGCCTGGCTGACACCTCTTTAAATGATTTAGTTAAGCTCCTTCTTAGTTCCTACCTTCTGTGCAAAATTTCTGCAGCTGCAAACAACCTGTGGGGAGGGCATGCAGCTTTGCCTGTCAAAGGCTAAGGAATTGCATGTGGTCCATCTGTGGCCCTCTCTCTTTTCAGGACATTTCAGACCAATCAGTCAACCTGACATCCTCGGAGATCTAAGGGAAAAAAAGGTAGCAACAAATTCCAATAGGTCCCAAAAATCTGCTTTGTGGTTGAGATGTTAGTTCCGTCCTCCAGAAAAATCACAATTTCTCACAATAGAAAAATGATAGATAGATGATGGATGGATGGATAAGTGATGATAGATGAATGGATAAGTGATGATAGATAGATGATAGATAAATGATAGGTAGATGGATGGATAGATAGAGAGATAGAGATGATAGATGATAGATTAGATGATAGATAGATAGATGATAGATAGATAGATAGATAGATAGATAGATAGATAGATAGATAGATAGATAGATAGAGACAGATGATAGATGATAGATAAATAGAATTGGAAATGTAAAATATCACATATTCCTTTCCTCCATTTTCTTTCAGACTAGTAGCCCGGCCTTTAGTGTATTTGATATTTAATGCCCTTGTTATATCACATAGAAAAACATGGAGCTTACCTGGCAGGTTTCCTGTGACCCTGTGATATTACAAATGAGAAGCAGGATTCTCATGCCTGCACGTGTTTCCCTGCTCATTGCCCTTCCTGGGAACTTACTCATGTAAGACTTTCTACCACAATCATCAAGAGACCTGTTCTCACTGAAGAGTATAACATCATTACCTATTTTAAAATTCTGAGTAAATGTTAGTAAGTCCAAATAAGTTAAAATGCCAAACTCATATAATTTCTAGAAAGATTTTTAAAAAATCTTTACCTAAGAACTACCCAGTACTAACCTATTCTGAAAAATACATTAACTCCATACTAATATTCAACAAAAGTCAACACAGCTTCTATACATAACAAAGTATTGATTGGGATCCATTAATACATTCATCTAAAAGCATTTATTGGTCACTCACTACGTGCCAGAAACAATTTTAGACAAGAACAAATGAACAAGTCCGACAGTTCCTTGCCCACTTAGGGTTTACATTCTAATAATGGGTAAAGACAATAAAAAGCAAAATATATATAATGTGATAATACTAGGTAGCTCAGTGATTTGATGAAAAGCAAGGCAGAGCCAGAGCCACAGTGGGGGACCGTGGTCAGACTGGCCTTCCTAGGAAACCACAGATAATCACACACCTGGACCAAGTGAGGGATTGGAAAATAAAACTGTTTGAGGGAATACTGCTTCAGGCCTAGAAGAGGAGGTCGGAAGAGTTAAGAGAGTGTGGGCATAGCAGGGGCAGGATAACACATGTCTTTACATGTCAGGTCAGGACATGGTATTTGAAATGTGCTGTCAAGCCTGGGGGTCCATCTCGAGAAGGGAAGGGACCGTCCTGCTCTGGTAGAGTAGCATCGGCCCTGGTAGGGGTGCAGGCGCGTAAGGGGCCCGCACCTTGGTCAGGGACAGCTCTTGCTGCTTGTTTGACTGAACCTTCCCAACAATCATGTGAAAGGGGAGGCTGGGCCTCATTTCACAGATTACAGGCTCAGATCCAGAAAGGGTAGGCTTTTCACCAAATTCACAGTTTTTTTCAGATAAAAGTGAACTAATTCCAACTCAGCTCTGTGAGGCTGTCTGGTGAACATCCATTATTGCTAACTTTTTCTGATTCTTATAAAGGACTAAACATTTTCCTGTTTCTACCATTAGTAATTTAGGATTCACACCTAACCCCGTGAGTGAACTATGGGTGGTACTGGGGCACTTGGGGACGAATTGCAGCTGTGCTGCCTGGGGAATACCTGCACTGGGGAACCTCTATTCAAATGGAAAACAACTTAATGCCATGTCTCTAGCTTAGGATGCAGCTGACTGTGTTCTTGCAACACCCATGTGACCAGGAAAAGATTGAAATAAGTATTGAGATATTGCCAAGCATAATATCTAGGATATTCCAGGTTCTCTAATAGAATCAGAAAGTATTTTTTGGATACAGTTCAAAGGGAACTTTTTAGAACAGAAAGTAGCTATGCAACCAGGTGCCCCTTCTGGTGTCTCCTGCGATTAAAAATCCCGTCATTACCTAAACCAGAATTTATTTGAACACATCTGCTTAATACCCCTGGACACAAATGTGAGACCTGGCTGATGAATACATGGGAGCACTGTGCGTTTTTATAAGCGTTCATCCAAATGGAAAAGTTGTGCATAGGGCTGGCGTCTGTGGCGGAAGCTGCAGCATCCCAGGCCACCCTATTTCTTCTTGGAACCTGTTTTCCATGCGTAGCTTCATCTGTTATCACTATTTCCAGTCCTTCCGCCATCATAATGTTGTGTTATTGTTTAAATACAGGGAGAGGTCCTGTGTTGAATAATTTACAAAAATTGCCCTAACTGTACTTTTTCAATTTTTATGTTATTATGGTAGAAATATAAATGTCATCTGTACTCATAAATTTGTTTTATTTGCCAGTTTTCAACCTTTTAAAATTGCCTTTTGTTGAATAGTCTTAGTTTTTCCTAAGTTAATAACACTATGGATGCAGAAGGGTCCAGTACAGCTGGGCGACTCACCCTCACCCTCTCTCCGTGTCTTCCCAGACCGATCGCAAGTCTGATTTTCTCAGGCTTTTGTAGAGGGACGTGATCTCTGTCGCCAACATAACAGTCCTCGATTGATATTGGTGAAAAATCTCTCTGCTGTTACCTGGTGTGGATGCTGGCATTTCAAAGTACAGAGAAAACTACACTGTAGCCATTCAGCGACTCTAACACTAGCTCAAAAGGTTTAATTTGAACATGTATGTTCAACTTGTTAAAAATGAACACATGGCCCGGCCGGCGTGGCTCAGCGGTTGAGCGTCAACCTAGGATCCAGATGATCGGGGTTCGATTCCCGGGCAGGGCACATGCCCTGGTTGCGGGCCCAATCCCCAGTCGGGAGTGTGCAGGAGGCAGCCGATCAATGACTCTCATCATTGATGTTTCTCTCTCTCTCCCTCTCCCTTCCTCTCTCTGAAATCAATAAAGATGTATTAAAAAAAAAAAAAAAAAGAACATATAAACCAATTTTTAGGACATTATATTCACTACTTTCTTTCTGTTTAAACTATGAATTTTAAATTCCACCTTGATTTGAATAGCATAATAAAGCCCATTCTTAAAAAGCTGATTAAAATTAAAAGTGCTTTATCTTATGATCCAATATTACCATAAAGGTTTATGTCCAGCAGCTTTGCATTCATCCTTCATAATGTTACCATAAAATAACTGCTGCACCCAACTCTATATTCCATAATAAAAAAGACACCAAAGAATAAGTTATAGTCTCAGCTCTTAATAAAAACAGAAATGCTGTGAATTTTATCCCGTTTTTCCTGTGCTGGGTAGGGTTTGGTGCAGCTGATCATAATACTTACACTGAATATTAACTCAAGTGTGAACCCAGTTCTTCTTTCACTTGCTTCTATCATTTTAGTAGCAATAAAAAGTTACTTAAATTTTTTCACACTTTCCACCATTTTCATAACTTTTACATTTACTGATGAGTAGACGTTGACAAATATTTTGTGAATGTATTGTGACAAGATAGCAACGCATTTTGGTTACACACGAAAACAATTTATGAAAAACTCCTCAACATATCTTATCTCCCATTTATACACAAAGCTGTAATATCAAAAATAATAAATATTTATACAATATCTTTGATTAATTAACATATACCAGTTAGCTGTCTAAATGTGAAATCAGTTTTAAAGTGTGATCTTGACAGAGATTTAAAAATACCAAACTAGAATAAGTCATGGAATCCTAGTAATAAACTTGCTTTTTTATTAAATGAAATTGTTCTTTCAAGTTTCGTATGATTACCCAGATTCTCCTAGGTGTTTAAGTTTATCTCTGGATAGCATCAGGAACTTAACACACATATGCAACTTTCCTCTTACTTGGTAAGATTTAATGAAAGCCTAAATGAAATAATATTAACATACTCTAGGTTCAGTGCCTCTCCCACATTAAACATCCAAGAATGCTGAGAATCTGTACTGGATGGGATTGGAAACAATGCTGGGAGACTATGCCAGGGTGCGCTTGCAGTGCCTGGCACCGGGACCCGAGGGCTGCTTGTCTGCATCTCTCTCCCGCTCCACCTTCAGTGACAAGGTGGCCGGCTTGCAAGAACCATGGGTGTTTGCTCCAAGGAAATCAGAAAACACTCTAACTCAGATCTTATTTTTCTATCAGAGAACTGGAGCATACAGCTCTTTACCAAGAGACTCCCAGTTTGCTCCAAAGCACAATTAAAACTTTTAATTGACCTTATTGGGGTGACCTTGGCTATAAAACCATGCCGGTTTCAGGTGTACAGCCCTATAACGCATCATCTGCACACCCCAACACCATCTTCCCCCCTGCGCCTCTTCCACCCCCCCTTCCCTCTGGCAATCCCATAGTGTTGTCTGGGTCTGGTTTTTGTTTTGCTCAATCCCTTTACCTTTTTCACCCGACCCTCCAACCCCTCTGCCCAGCCAAGCCCTAAGTTTCTGACTGCGTGGCAGAACCAAACACGCACGCTGATCTCGTAAAGGGAGGCTCCAAATCCTGCAGGCAGTCAAAGTGTTCACCCTCCCCAGAGGCGGCCGACTCTAAAGAGCTCAGGGACCCGGCCGAGGACCCCGTCCCCTCAAAGGCGTAGGTCCGGAGGGAGTCAAAGGGAGGGGCAAAAGGATCGGTGTTAGCTTCTGCCAGCTTTTCCAGGATGAATTCCTTGATGACGGCATCGTCTGGGCCGACCTGCCAAGACGGGCCCCTGAGCCCCGCGGGGGGCGCTTTCCGCGGCCTGCGCGCCCTCCTGACCGGGCTGCCCCTGGGCTCCCCGGTGGCCAAGGCCTGGGCGTCTTCCTGCCCTTCCCCTTCGTCAGCGTACCTGATGATCCTCTCTTTGAAATCTTTACCCTTCTCGGCAAACAGAGGCTGCTTCCTCCTTTGTCTCAGAACTAGGAGCGTAAAAATAAACCCTGACAAGGAAAGCAACCAAAATATTAGCACAATATAGCGTAACACAGCGTCACAATATAGCAGGGTATGTTATTTATAATAAACTTTACAATCCTTGCTTTGGTTACAAGCTTAAGACAAGAGCTTAGATGTTATGATTTTTAAGGCAGAAAGGTATATTTGCTGTTGAAAATTTACAAAAGGGGCTTGCAGAAAGACAGGGATACAGCAAACTTGCTGGTTGATGATTTAAAGTAGAAAAGCATAAAAAATATAGTGAAATGTTTTTGAAGGTGATCAATTTAAAACCTAAAATTTTATTTTTTTCTTATATATTGGAAACAGAACAAAGCAGAATATGGGAGCATCTTTCAATCTCTATGCATTTGTCCATTTAGTAACCAAAGATGCAGGTTAATAGAAGTTAAGCACAACGGGGCAACTGAGGGTCCCCATCGAGGAAGATTCTGTGGCATAATTACTTTCTAAGTTAATATTTACTGCCCGTAAAATGTGTACCAGGCATTTTTCTAAAAGCTTTAAATCTATTCATTGATTTAATTGTTATGAGACCATTATGTTGCATATTCCCTGTTGAAGTTGGGAAACGAGCCCAGGGACGCTCAGTCACACTCCCAGAGTCACACAGCAAGGAAACAGAAAGCTGGCACTCAAAACCAGACAGCTGGCTCCGAATCTGCACCCTGGGACACCACATTAATTTTAGAAATTCCAAACTGCCAAGTCTTTTCATTATAGCACTGGTATGTCAACCATCAATATTTATTAACAAGGTAATTTTAATATCATGTAAAAACAACAATTTCAGAACACTTTTTATTTTAAAGAAAATGTGTGTGTGTGTGTGTGTGAAGGGTAGCCAATTCTTACTCAACCTTGGCTTGTATGTAGCTGTTCAGAATTTCATAGATAGGACTTGAACCAAAATGGAAGCAATATCATTAATATTATCAAAAAGATAAATACATTAGGCAATATTTTATATAAAAGTTACATTTAAAATATTGAAACACTGCTCTTGAATCGAGTAAGGGCAGCACTGTGTCTAAATTCAGATACTATACTTTAAAATTCATCTGCGCCCTGGCCGGTGGTTCAGTTGGTTGGAGCACTGTCAGGTACACCAAAAGGTTGCGGGTCCAACTCCCCACCGGGGCCCATGCCTAGAGTGAGGGCCCGACCCCCAGTAGGGGTGAGTAGGGAGGCTACTAATGCATGTTGGCCATCCATGTTTCTCTCTCACATCTCTCGCTCTCCCCCACCC